CAATTTTTGATATTAATGTGATTAAACATAAAAAATACTTAAAACTGAAAAAAACGAAAGAAATGCGTTACTTTTGAAGAAAAAGCTTAACATTTTATTTTCCTTTGTCTTGCCTTTCTGTGAAATCTGACACTGATGAGTCATTGTTTACACAGCTGGATGACCTTGTACACAGCTGGAGATGGATTTCCCGGGACATTCTCATAGAAGTCTCGGGAGGCGATGGGTTTATAGTAGGGTGAATACTAGCTGGTATATTTTTAAATATTTTTAAAAAATTAAATAAATGTTATTAATAGTAAATAAAAATCATTATAAAACTTAAATGTGCTAATATGGTATTTTTTACTTATTCTGTTCATGCCTATAAGATATAAGGCAAAATGACTGTACGGTTCTGTTAAATTATGATCGTTTTATTATCAATATAATACTTTTGTAAACTAAAATTGTTAACTATCATCATCTATATGTATTACCCCCTGTAACAGGGAAATCTGTTCCTTTTGCTAATAAATTTGAATTGAATTGAATATTCTATTTTTACAAAGTTATTTTTTAAAAATTTAGTATTTTGTAAACTATAAAAATTAGAATCTGAATATATTTAATGTTTTAATTTTTTTTTTAAAGTTTNCAAAAAAAAAAAAGACAAAAATTTTTTTAGGGGGTCCAAACGCCCGAGTTTTATGTAACACTATAGAACTTGCCCGAGATATCTTGGGATAAGTCCTTATTAAAACAAACTTAATCAATTAAATAACTCTTCAAAAGACAGAAAATAATGTATTAATAAATATTTAAACAATGTTTTCTTCCAACTTTCTTTTAACTTACAAACAAATTTTATTACTAAATTATGCCAATTCTATGATAAACACTGTAACTAACTCTTCTTACTGAAGTAAAAAAGTGTAATGAATATTTTAAATTTATTTTTGGAAAATTTTTTTTAGAAATAATTTGATTGTTTGTATTAGTTTAGAGTTTGAAAAAAGCAAAAGGTTGTTTAATAATAGGTATGTTCATACAAATTCTAATTTGCATACTTTGTTCATTTCTCCTGTGATGACAAGTGTTTGGTGAACATAGGGGACAAATAACAAATCTTCCTGCCAATCTGAAATATCATACACACAAGTTAAATGTTCTTTTATTTTGTTAATCCGAGTTAATTATAATTAACCTGTCTAGGTACAATTTTTCAAATTTTAGGTTTAACTGACCTTGACAGTAAGAATATATAATGAGTGGCCAAAAAATTAGACACACCCCATATTTGAAAATAAACCAGTCTGACAGTGACAGAGTGATGTAACAACACAGAGTTACTTATATAAGAAACACTCAGCTTCAGATGACGTAGTTATCATGGAAGTTAATGTCAAAATGGGTAAGATGAAAGATTTAAGTGACTTTGAACAAGAGATGATCATCGGTGCAAGAAGAGCTGGTGCCAGTATCTCTGAAACGACAACTCTTTTCTCACCCAACAGGATACTGTCAGAATTTAGAGAATGGCAGTTGAGAAAAAAAAAACTTCAAGCGATAAGGACAACAATTCTGGTCGAAAAAGGCTGGTGAACGAGAGAGGTGAAAGGCAATTAAAACACATAGTCTGAAGCAACAGAAGAGCAACAACACGACAAATTACAGTTGAATTCAATGCAGGTGCATCACAAAGTATATCCCAACACACAAAAAGATGGACTTTGCAAAGGATGGGCTTTAGCAGCAGGAGACCATCAAGAGTGCCTTTGGTATGACAGAAAAATAGAAAAAAAGGCATCTGTTGTGGGCCCAGAATGACAAAACTGGTCATTTGAGGACTGATAAAAAGTAGCCTGGTCTGATGAATCTCGTTTCCCGCTCCATTATGCAGATGGCAGGATCAGAATATGGTGCAAACATCATGAATTCATGGACCCCCTCCTGCCAAATGACAACACTTCAGGCGGGTGGCAGTGGAATTATGGCATGGGGAATGTTTTCCTGGATTACACTGGGTCCTTGATATTTGTGGACACATCTCTGAATAGCACAGCTTACCTCAACATCGTTGCCGATCACATACACTCGTTTATGGTCGTAATGTTCCTTGATGGAGATGACCACTTTCAGCAGGACAATGCACCTTGCCACCATGCTTGATTGGTCTCAAATTGGTTTGAGGAACATCAAATCAGAGTTTAACCTGCTTCCATGGCCAGCTCAGTCTCCTGACCTCAATCCTATGGAGCATTTGTGGGAAGTTGAAAGATCACTTCAAAGCTTGGAAATGCCACCATTCAATCTGACCCAATTTATAGCTGCCATTATGTCGACATGGGCCAACATTCCTCAGCAACAGTATCAGCAACTTGTTGAGTCCATGGCAAGAAGAATAGTGGCTGTGATCAGAGCTAAAGGTGGACCAACTTGTTATTAGAGGGTGTTTCTAATTTTTTGACCACTCAGTGTATATTTTTTTATTTTAACACAAAAGGACTATCCCTTCAATTTTTTTTCCTAGGTAAAATAAATTGAACTAAGTGATGTTTAATTTGTTATCCATGTATTTTTACATTATTGTTATTACATAAGTAGATTGTATCATTAACAGACTGATATAAAAAAATTAGCATTTTTTTTTACTGTATATCTTATGATTTGGTACAGTACATATCCATCATTAATTTGTTAGTTTATAAATAAACTATCGTTTATGTTATTATATATTACATGATGTTTTAAAGACCTGAATTTGTTATAACAACATTCTTACCATTTATTGGATTATAAACTATATTAATTAAAGTTTATTTTGCTGCTATATTTTATTGCTATATTGCTATAAGCTGTTGGTTTTGTTTTTATTGCAGAATTTGCATTTTAAATGATTGAATCAAGAAGGAAACTTGTTAATAGAGAGGTTGAGGCACACATATTTAGCCCAAAACGTGAATGGCGGACTGTCGAACACCATCATCTGGCAATTCTGGACAGTCGATAATGGTGGTTGCTACATCTAGAATGGCAAGTAGACGATCGGCTTAAACTTCTTCATTTTTTTGTGTTTGTGGTTAAAATTATGATGAATTTTATTAAAATAATGATTATTTAAGCATTTACGAATAATATTGTAAAGAAACAGATGATTTTAATCCAGAAATGATTTAATTATTCAATTTTTTAGCAAGTTATGTGGAACGTCTATAGAATTTACATATATTTGTCTTCATAATAGGTAATCTTAAGGTAGGTTTGTTCTTCCACGGCATCTTCTACCATCAACAGCGTAATACATTTGTAAATTTTCTAAAAATTAATTTTCCGAGCTGCTTTCAAATTTACATAAGCCATTACTTCCCTCGACAAAAGTATGAGGTAGTCCTATTGTCCGATCATACAGTAGGAGACACAATGCTAATTAAAAATAATTATTTACTGATTAAACATCCTATAAATACTTTTAAACAGTTTAATTTGTTTATTTACCTTTGCTGGTAACCCTCAATGTTAAATGTATCTGCCATGTTTTCAAAAAATTTCCTTTGAGTTAATGTGCAACGTTCACTGAGTTATGTGGTATTGTGAACGAGAACTGCAAGGTCTTTTACTTGGCCTTAAAATGTCAAACATGTATTTCTGCTTACCATACAAGTTTAACATTTGTACTTGCACCTCGACCTCTCTAATATTTACTTTGTTACCCACATTGATAAGTTTGTTAAGTTGTTACATGCAATTGGTTTTGTCTGAGATATTAGCATGTTAATAGACATGATCACAAAACAAATTTGTTAAAGTTTTCCATTTAGTTGAGTTTGTTAAGTTGTATGCTGTTTGGTTTATCTTCTATAAGTTGTAAGCTTGTTATTCTATTGGGTCATAAAGGAAATATGTTAACATTTATTTTTGTTAATGTTTTTATTTATTGGTCTTTTGTTTTTCAGATATTGTTCTAATTTTTAGTGTTCTTCTCTCCAAAAAATCAAGTGTTCTTTTTTTTTTTTAACTTCCTCCCCAAAAAGAAATCCTTAGTGTCATGACTAAAGCAAATGGTTTAAAATTCTTTAGCTCTTGTAAGAAAAGGCAATAAAAGTATACCTGTGTGTGGCATTTGCACTCGCATTTGCACTCACATTGTGCATGAAAATAGCGTTTACATTATATTGCACATAGAAAACCAGATAAACAAACATCTTATGGACTCTTTCCTATTTTAATGTAATTTAAAATAAAATCAGTATGAGAGATTCAAATATCCCTAAAATAGTGAATAATATTACAGTAGTCAATAGAATATGTATCACATGAGCAATAAAACTTGAAAATATGAGGGTTAAAAATTTAATAGTGATCACAAAGGTACAGATTAGCATAGGAAAGGCATAGTACTGATTAAATTTTACTAATCCATCAAATATAATCTCCAGCATTGTCAATGACCTGTTTCATCAGCATGGTAGCAGCATAATGCCGTCAGAAGCCCCAGATGTGTTGATGTCATGAATGGGGGTAATGAATACTGCAAACAATTTCAAGAACTATGTGGAAATGAATGCCTCAAACTGCTTCATGTATCAACAAACAAAACAGATTTATAATTAGGTACCCATGCACATTCAAACTCTTTCTGAAATCATTGTTGAATTGTGATCAAGGATTTCAACTCCATAAAACATGTGACAATTTTCATTTTTTGTTCTACAGACAATTTTCTGCTGTTTTTGTACCTTTTGGTTTAAGGATGATGGTGCCCTTGCAAAAAAATCTTCCTCTTTCAGAAAATGCTTTCATTTTACCCATACATACTTTTTAAAATGAATTTTGTTTTTGTAGCATTTTAATTGAAACATCCTTCAGACCATATAAAAATATCTTGAGTATTTAGCAACTGATCAAAATATGCTTTTATTTTTTAAAAATCTACACACAAAAATTATTTTTACAAGAGAAAAACTATACAGAAATATATATTTATGTACTAAAAACCTAATAAATTAAATGTAATACCTTGTAATATATTGAAATAATTCTTTTAATTCTCCAGATACTGAAAGATGGTCATAGTCAGCAGGATCATAAGCTCTGATCAATAGAAATAAAAATACTAAATAAATAAATTTTAAAAGTTTATCTTACATTAAATATAAAGGTTTATAATATGTACTTGAATAATCATTTAAAAATTTATTTTCAACAATTACAATAACTTTTACTTACATTTTAGACCAAATTTAATTTTATTAAATGAATAAATATATTTGTATACTGTCATTTAATTTTTCATTACATCAAAGAATTAAATATTTTGGTCATTTAATAAATTTAAAATTTTTTAATTGTTTCTTACACATGATTTCATTTTTCTGTGTTCTCCCTATGTTTTCTGGAATATTTTCTATTTATATACCTCTTATTATTTGTTATATGTTTGTTTTGTGCCATTTCTTTTTCAAAATATTGAAAATATGGGGTAAATCAAAAAGATGTTTCAATTTTAATGATTTATTATTCAAGTTTACATGGATACAATTAGTACAGATGGAAAGAAAACTCAAGTTTTTTAGAGAACAAAGATTTAAAAAAATACTACGACTCATCTATTTAATCACTGTTTAAAATATGATCCTAAGTTTGTGTGGAACCACCGAGTTTTATTCAGACAAATTACAAATGTTCAATGTGTGTTCTAGGTGTAACATGATACACATCAAGCCAGTAATCAAGTTCTTGCTAAAATCTTAGTAGCATGTTGTGGACAACTTCTGTGGTGGCTGCAATGTGTATAGTGTGTAATATGTGTGCATTCAGGCCAAGCAGGGTTATTGCAAGTGGTAATATAAATATAAAATTCTTGATGAAATCTCAAAAGAAGAAATCAAATAGAATGAGATCTACAAAACATGGTGGGCAATACAGCAGTTCTTGATCCCCTTCAGCTGCAAGACCAATTTATTGTGGTAATCAATTATTGAAGTGGACATGAATTCATTATGTCTATTCAACTTCCCTGAAATGTGAAATGTTGCTTCATCACTAAAAATCAATTTTTCAGAAAAACTATTCTGTTCCATTAGCCTGAGCAAATTTGCTCAGAAATGTATTTGATAAATGGAACATTTTAAAAAAAAATGGATGCTTATGAAAAGTAATGTTTGTGACAATGTTTGATTTACAAAATGCAGTGTTTGCAATGATGTTTGAAGCATTCTGATTTTAGAACAGTTGACCTGATGAAGATCCAGAAGCACTAAAAACGTTTGTCATTCTAAAGGTGATAACTTACTAGATATTTATTTAAGAAGGTTCTCTAAGAAGTTTTTAAACAAACTATAAAAAAAAAGGTTTTGTTTTGGGGGTCAGGAATGGATTATCCATTTTATATTGTTTCTTATGGAAAAATTTGTTTTGGTTTTAGAACAATCAGTTTTTGAACAACTTTTAGGAATGAATTAAGTTTGAAACCCAAGGTTTGACTGTATCTTATTTGAGATTTTCATACCATTATCACAGTATCAAATGAGAGAGAGAGATTACTGTTTTGCATGAATTATTAAAAGAATAAAAACATTTTAAAGTCATTTTTTACCCTTCTACTTGAATACCAGGGTCATCATCATCATCTTCATCTTCATCTTCATCTTCATCATCATCTTGACTATTTTGAGAAAGATCCAATTCTCCTTTCCCTAATGCACCAACTCTAGCTGATGGTGCAGGTCGAGATGGAGGTCTGGGAACTTTGACTGAAGACTTAAATGAGAAAAAATTTACAATTATTTAATTAAAATTTATTTAAGGAAAAATAATTTTTTAATCCTAATTATCCAGCTTTAAATGAAAAAATATAAAAAGATTTCTTCTCTACGTAGTATTCTTTCATTGCAATTAAATTCAAACTATAAAACTGAAAACTATATAGTTTCCAGTGGCGTGCCGTCATTAGAAGCGGTGGAAGCGCCGCTTCCCTTGTATTTTCTAAAAAATAAATACATATTAATTTTAATTATATAAAAATAATCGCACAATATTTTATTATAACCGCATCATGTATCTTATTACAAATTTCTATACTACACGTGAAAAAAAAAAAAATAAGATTGCTATTGTATATTCGAATATTAGTGGCAGAGTGGAATCTCTGTATTGTCAGATTCCAAAAAGCCAGATTCGCACACGCGCTTTACAGAGCACCGACTTCACCCGGTTTAGCTGGTGGAAGCCTACCCCATTGCCAGGAAACCTCCACTGGACTTATTGATTAAACAAAAAATAAATCTACAAAGAGCTAAATGGGGAGAGGCGATCGAACTCAATCATCAAAGAATTACACATAATGAAATTGAATGGCGTTTCCCATACTGTAATACTCACCATTATAATACAGCTGTGCATTATAAAGATAATGAAAATGGGATTGAAAATATCAAAGTGTTTACGGATGGATCAAAACACGATAACATGGTTGGATGCTCCTTTGTAGTTTACAAAAATGAAGAAGAAATATACCATAGAACCATCCGCTTAGATAACAACTGCACAGTTTTTCAAGCTGAACTGTGTGCAATTAAAATGGCCATTATTTGGATATGTAATTTACAGGATAAAGTTAATGCTAACATATGTACAGATTCTTTATCTGCTTTTAATATGATTAATAACACCAATTTACACCCCATTGCGGAAGAGATTCGTAGATTAATAAATCACTCAAATTCTAATATCACCATATCTTGGACACGAGCCCATCAAGGCACAATGGGAAATGAGAGGGCGGATACCTTGGCAAAGCAGGCAGCTGGGGATGTCTCATTACCAATAGAATATGATAAATACAGTATCGGCTCAATTAAAAGATTATTATGGGAAAACACCATCCAAATTTGGCAAAATGAGTGGAACCAAAAAAATACGCATATTAATTATGAATTTATACCAGATCTAAAAAAATTTTACTCTTTGGAATGGTTTTACCTGGACCATACTACAACCCAACTTATGACAAATCATGGCAAATTTGCTAGTTATCTAGCAAGATTTACAAACCGAAACGACAATCAATGCTCTACATGTCTTGCAATTGATGGTTCAAAGCATTATATCTATGATTGTATAAGATTTGAAAGGGAAAGGATAGAACTAATAAGTATATTAGAGAATAATGGAATCAAATGGCCGTGTAAACTATCTGATATCTTGACTAATGGGAGCACTTATAATGCTTTTGTCAGTCTTGCCAAACAAATTTATAAGATCAATAACCAAATTATCTATAACTGAGATGTACCCTATTGTAATAAATCACATTATTGATAAATCAAATATTGAAATTAATATTCACATAAATTGAACAATAAAATTGTTGTATTGGATGGCATTTATACTTATTTTCATGAATATCACCTGATTATAAGCATTGTTATAACATTGTTTATTGAATACGCGGTATGACAGAATTGGTCAATAGTGTGGAGCTAATCACATATTATTTAAAGAAATTTACCTGATTTTAACTGGGTAATTTGAATTGGTGGATGTATATCTAGTTATGTGCAGTATATGAATTGATATATACATGTAATGTATATGTATATATTGATAATATATTTGATACTTGCCGTATTACATGTTACAATTGATATGTAATTATAATAAATAATGATAAAGTGCTGTTAGAGCTGATATTGCAATATTCTATCTTTATACACCGTGAATGTATTTAATGCATTGTATATTGTAATATTGTTAAGCATTAATGAAACCTATTATGTATACAATATTCTGTAATATGAAATAGCAAAATATAAGGTGGTAATTGGTTATTACAGATATTGTAACTAGTGCAACTTTAGATAGTATTTATTATTTGAATGTTAGATAATATATAAGATATAAATGATGAATAAATATTGAACTACAGACATCATAATAAAATATTATTAGAATATTGCTGTTACAATAATGCTATAATATTGTTTGATAAATATAATAAATTACTGTTATAATAAATATAATGCAACATTGCTGCATAATAACATATTGATATAAATACTGTTAATTGAATGTATTATAAACTATTGTTAATTGAAATAGTGTCGGCTATAGTATGCGGGATGTATATAATTGCATTATAATATATGTGATGATGTCGGCTATAATATATGTATTGTGTAAAATATAGTATAATTGTACTATTAACAATGTTATTATATGGTGTTAAAGAATGACTATAATGATTATATAAATTAAATTAAGACAATATAATATAATCCTTAGATAAATAGTAATGTTATATGGAAATAATAACAAACTACTGTTAATACAATAAATTATTTAATGTTAATAGTATAATGATATATATATAATTGTATATAATCATATAAAATGTTCTATTATTTGCCTGGTAGTGCCTAGCGGGACCAGGCCATATGTAATATACATGTAAATAAAAAAAAAATGGAATATGGTGGAAGCCTACGACCTTGAGTTGATGCTACACATTCCAATGCTTCCAATTCTATCTGGGACCGGTTCTGGGCTGTTAGCTGTCTGCCCGCTAGATATTTGGCCAATTACGTGAATAACAAGTAGATTTATAACTTAACCCAACCGATAAGAATTTACTGGTATGTTTTTACGATAGTTCTGTATAGTTGACAGGAGTTTAAAAAAATCCATTAAAATATTTAATATATTTATTCCACTCTCCGATTTTATATTACTCGTGGATTTCAATGTTAAATCAGCGATATTACGATTTCGTATATCCCATCTTTAAGCAGAAAAAAACGTATACAATTTTTGCACAATGTTAAAAAATTAACTGTTACTTTGGCAGCATCATTTACAACCAAATTTAATGAATGAGACGCACAATGTACAAAAAAAAAAGCACTAGAATTTATTTTCCTTAAATTACGATTTATGTATCCTTTTGTCATAAAAATTTGTCTTTCCACTTTTTTCCCGAGACTACAAATATTCGAGTACAAAGTAAGTGGTTTTGACTTATTTCTACTTAAGAAGTAGTTAAATAGTTAAGCAATTAGGGAATTGGGGACATAAACAAAACCCTGATGAAAAAGTCAGAATATTACTTAAACAAAAGCTTAACCGAACCAATCTATAGCCGAGTACAGTGGGGACCGATTTTTTTGAAATACTGTATTAGATGTAATAAAGACAGAATTTTTCCAGTTCCACGAGAGTGACCAAAAAGTTGTAAATTTTGGAAATTTCCGTGGACAACACCCGGTCCTAAAACGAATTAGTTAGAAAACAAAAGACGGACAATCTATTAAGTTTAACATATTTAGATTTTTACAGCTATGATGAGAAACGTTTAAAATTTACAACAACCCTGTCATGTCCTTTGAGATATACTAGTGATACGACAAAAGACGTTAACCAGTATCGGCACCCTCAGGATTTGGCAGCCTGAGTGCATGTACAGTACACACCGCACACTTAGCAGGACTGTCTCTGATTCCACTCGTAGGGAGCTATTTGACTAAGTGGTTAAGATTTAAAAAGTAAAGAAGATTTTATGTTATTATTATGTACGTTTCATTACAAAGCTATATTTAATTATAACTTTCTTTAAAAGTATATTCATACAATTGAAGAAGGTTTTGTACCAGGTATGTACCGGTACATCCACCACACATTTTATTTCACCAAGTTTTTATAATTTTATTTTAAATTTTAGCCCTTATATCGTGGCTAGCTATTCGGAATGTAATTGCGATATTGAAAATTTATTTTTAAAAAGTTTAGGCTCGAGATCGTATAATGAAAAAGAAAACATTATTAAAAGAGAAAGGCCAATGCCTAAGTTAAATATAAATGCTTCAATAAAAAAATTTGTTCGACATTTTGACGATNCGTATAATGAAAAAGAAAACATTATTAAAAGAGAAAGGCCAATGCCTAAGTTAAATATAAATGCTTCAATAAAAAAATTTGTTCGACATTTTGACGATAAAATGGCTCTGTAAATGCATAAAAATGCAAAAATTGTTTTGTTGGCTTGCCTACTATTTTCAAATGAAATTAATGTGTGAAATAAGAATGACTTTAACAATTTAGCTGGCAAAAGACATGAAAAATCGTCAATTCTTTCGTATTTGAAGCAATTTGGAAATCGAAGCGGAATAGAATTTAACATTAGTAAATAATATAAAATAAATATTGAAAATTATAAGAGATAGTTATGGTTAATTGATATATTATATCTAAATAAATAGATGTTATATGTTTTTATCAAAGCAAGAATTGGAATTTAGAGGACGTATGGAATATATTGGATCTAATAACAGAGGTAATTATATTGAACTTGTTTATTTTTTAAGTACGTCAGATAAATAATCTATTAAAAATACATTTAGAGAATTAACTGATTGCCCCTGGAAGTCGGCTTCTTACAGAAACACAGCTTCCCTATCATCAAATGTCACAGCACGCCGCTGATAGTATCCCTCATACAACAAGGTACTTCTATAACATGGTTTTTCTCTAACATAACTGGAAAATTGGGGATATCTGCTGTACAACACAACTTCCAGTTTCGCTCTAACATGGTTTGAGAAATAAGGAAACCCTCTGTACAATTCTCTTTGTATTCAGCACATTGTACTGTGACATTAAGAGCACTATTAAACTATTAAACTACATTGCACAGAAAACAACAAAACTACAAAATTTTCAATTTTTAATAAAAATAATTCTTATTATAACATAAGTTGTTATCACATCAATTAAGTGTAAATTTTTGCTGTTTCTTTTTAATTTATAATTTAAAAAATGTTATAAGTATCATTTATAGCTTTGTTTTAAGATAGCATTACTTAATGATGAAATATATTGATTATAATATTTCAAATTACATTAGGATAGTTTAAATTTGGTAAGCTAGATTGGGTTTAATTTCATAATCTTGCCAAGTCTAGCAATTCTCTGTGAAGTATATGCCATTGCAGATTTATCTATGCGAAATGATGGTACTCCAGAACTTGTTAATGTAAAGTGATTTCTCCATCACAACAATGCTACATCACACACTATCAATGTTACATTACAGCATTACAATTGAGTATGAGATCCTGCCATATTTTGATATTCACCAGCCTTAGCCCTACATGATTTCTTTCTGTTTCTGTGACTGAAAGCAAGTTCTAAAATGCAAGTACTTCACATCCGATAAGGTGGCACATAGAACCACAATGATAAACCTTTGACATATGTCTGAAAATGAATTCTAGAAAGTGCATGATGTATGGATATAACTAGAGCAGAGATACGTATACATCAAAGGAGAATATTTTGATCGTGACAAAATTGTCAGAAGACTTAATAATAATAATAAGGAAAAAATCTAGTACTATTCTGTAAATTAAATAATTAGTTGTTATACATATTTACTGAAAACAGAATTTTGTACTGTGTACAAGTTCACATTTTTTAAAAACTTTAATTAATTATTAACAAGCTATTATTCTTTAAAATTATTTATTTAAATTTTTAATTAAAAATAACAATTAAATATATTAATTACTTACTAAATCAAGTGACTGTTTTAAACTTTCAATTACAGCATCACCATCATTTTTAGTCTCATCTACTGTAAACAAACATTGACATTGATTAATTATAACAAAAATTAAATTTCAATGAATACTTTCATATTTTTATGTACTAAATTTATTAATTAACAATTAGAAATTAAAAGATAAAGTCATAAACATAAAGGACATTCTATATCCATCACATTTATCTATTCTTGATGACAGTATTTTGAATAAGATGAAGTATTCAAAATTTTTAATTTTGTGTATAAAATATTGATATTATTATATTTAATACAAATAAATCACTGATTTGTATATTGAGAGAGTCTAGTTTCCTCTTCCAGAAAAATACTGTAGGAAATAAAATATTTTTCTTTTCTGAGCAAGGAAATGCTATGTAAAGGCCTAGCTCCCATTGTAAGAAAATTGTGTAAGTGTAAACTTCAAAAAAAAAAAAAAAACAAAAACAGAAAACAAAGAAAAATTGTATTTACATGTCAATTCCATTTTTCAAAAATGTAGATTGTCTAGAATGACATCTAATATTGTGCCATTAAAATGATGTTAGAATTCCAAGATGGACAATGATATGGTTGATGGTAAATTTCTAGTAATTCTTGACTTGATGACAAAATTCCATTGCAGAATTTTGTCATAAGTTAAGCATAAAACATTGGTTTAATTGTATTATATAGTAACAGTCTCATCCTGATTGCCTTTGGTAATCCAACTCCAGCATTTTAATTACTTCATGATATACTCATATCTGTATTACAAAAAATCTAATAAAGAATAATCAATGGAAAAATAGTTAAAGAAAAAGATGTGTATTGTCCAGGAGATCCTATGGATTATTTGGACGCCAAAAGTTGCTAGCAGGTACTATTAAATCAACTCCTATTCACTGGTTACCTATTTTGAGCCATATCCCTCCATCTGCACTCCGAAGGGACAGCACTTTGCTCAGGGAATATAGGAAAATATTGTCTAATTCACAACTTCCGATCCATCAGGATATTGATGACCTCAACATAAATCGACTTAAATCAAGACACCCTCCTCTTATAAGAGCTAAATCCCTGCATTCCAATAATTTCAACCTCACTGAATCTTGGAAAAGGCTCTGGGCTGATGTCTCTTCGGTGGACAGTCGACAACTTCCTTGTATCACAAAGCGACCACCTGGATTTGAGTTATCCAGAAATCTTTGAAGTGTGTTAAATAGGATTCGGACCAAACATGGGTTGTGCAGGGACAGTCTTTTTAGGTGGGGAAAAGTTGCATCCCCACAGTGTGACTGTGGTGCTGAAAGACAGACTATACATCATATCTTGGAAGATTGTCCAGTAAGATCTTTTTCGGGACAACTGAGTGACTTCTTGATTATGACTGAAAGTGCTTTAAATTATATTTCTAACTTAGATTTACATTTATGATTTGTGTTCTTACTTTTTCTGCTTTCTGTTCTTGTTAACAATTAGATGTGTAGCCATACGCTAAATAAATAAATAAATAATGGAAAAATAAAATAAAAAAAATTATTTAAAATAATGGAGAGCAAATTAATAAAAAATGAATTTAAAATAAGCAATTCAAGCTTAAATTAATTATCCAGTTGACATCATGATGTTCTAAGGTGCTGGAGGGTAACTAACATTTTGATGCCTTGTAAGAATTAAAATATATAACATTTACATAAGCACTATTTTATATTTTGTAAAAATTCTGCTTCTACTCAAAAATTTCTTATCAGTCAGTGTGGAGATCAATGTGGTATTATTATATTAGATGCACAGTAAAGTAAAAAATAAACCGTACTTTTGGCATAGATTTTATTATATAACACACAAATTCTTACATCACACTACCTTTAAAGTAAGCACTTTCTATATCTACACACTTCTACTAGCATCTAAGTATATAACTTGTGAAATCAGTCCCGGAAGCTATGCCTTTTATGCTTTGTTGCTACAGTTTCCACTCTGTTGCTTATTGGAATTTGCACCTCTCCAACTTCTCTCTTATTTTAGGAATAAAATAAGGAAAGAAGTTGAAGGGATGCAAAACTCCTATAAAAGATTGTGGAGCAGAATTAAGGAGTAAGGAGATCAAGAAAATATTTTCCTATGCCTTTCTTGCAGATAAACCACTAACAGGAAAGATCAATGAAAGTTTCAGAAGATAGAGCCTTTAAAATCATCACAAAAAATGCTTACAGTATCACTTTGACAAATGATACGAATGCATGCAGAATTGTACAGCTGCAGAAGATGACTACTTTAAAGATGGTCTCAAATAGTTCACATAGAGTCATTTTGGGGGGACTATATCTCATGAAGGGTCGCTCATAGAGGTATGGTTCCTTTGATATTTTTGTTCCTATGACTATGCCCTACAGTTCTGTTAAGGTCCCAAACTGAGCTTGAAGTGAGCCCAGTATCTTCTTTACCGTTCTCAAGCATTGCCAGTGCTTAGGTAAATTCTTCGTAAAATTCGAATAAATACTTATAATTGCTGATGCAATATTCAGATTTTTTAAACACAAATTCATCAATTTGCTGCTTAACGCAATTTTTATATCATTCAAGGGAGAAGCACAAAGAAAGAATATAAAACAGTAAAATTCAATTAAAATTAAATCAATTTACCTTTCCCGCTGGCAGACGCCATTATATAACAATAAAATGATTTATAACTTGAGATTTTGCGGAATTTGGCGAGACTTATATTTTGCACACGAGATGGCGTTTTGTTCCATAAAAAACTAAAGCGCTAAATATAGAAAGTAAAGGGCTGTCCATAAATCACGTCCACATTTTTCTTGAAATTTTTATTCCTCGACTCTCCCGTTCCAGTTTGTCTAAGTTTCAGCAATCCCTCCCCTCTTCGGACGTCCAATAAAACTCGACCTCCCTTAAAAACTTTATCACTTTATGAATGATAGATACCATAAATAGAAACGAAACATGCAAAAAATTCCGAAATAAATATAATAAAATGCATAAACTGTACACAATTTAATGAAATAAACGGATGTCCAATGATACTCCTCTCCTCCACCTTCCAGTGTGGACGTCATTTATAGACAGCCCCAATGCAATCTAACAATCGTCTGCTAGAAAAATCGCCATTTTGGACGAAAGTCGCAATAGAATACTTAATTAAGGCCGCTAAGACGTTTTATAGAGGTACAAGTCTCGACAAGCACATATTATCTTTAGTCGTGCAACAGAAAATCGCATATGCGTTCCTAGCGGCATAATGGCACGATTATTTACATTTATTTCAAAAGCTGAAATAATCTATTGACGCTTTTAGTTTACAGTAAAGCCTTATTACTGACCAAAGGTATAAGGAAGATAACTTGTTAAACAGAAAATATACCTTATTCAATGACGATGAAAATGCTAATGCCCACAATAGGTCATAATTAAGAACTATACGTATTGAATTAAAGAATTTCCTACAGTAAAGGGAAAATACATTTGATATTTTAATAATAAAAAACACATTACAGTGGACTTCAAAAAATTAATTCGTTAATTCATCGATTTACTAAGATAAATCAAGTCACTTTGAAGAGAAACAGTCATTATTGATGAATTTACATCATCAGTTATATGAATTTACGTCATTTCATTTATATGAAGAATAACCTCTTATACAGTATTAAACTGTTGGAAATTACTGATTGCACAAGAAACACAGGACCAAAAAGATAGCTAAATAATATACGCTCAAATATTACCGGGTATAAAATAACTGGCCCATATGAATCTTTTTTTAAGGAATAGCTATTATTAATAAAGTTTTCTGTTGGTTCAATATATAAATTAACTGGTCAACTCTGCACCTTTATTAATATACTCCTTATAGCAAACTTTATATTCCATATAAAATCTTTTTTGAATTACAGTATAGCGTCGTTTATCCGAAAGAATTCCAGTCGGCAAATTTAAATTTTCGCTAGTGTTGTGGCGTTGCAATCTGTGGCTATATCTTGGGCTACTCCAATATATTTTTTTGTTGATGTGTGTGTTTTAGCTGGCAGCACTGGCACTTTTGTGTGGTGTTTTTCTGAGGACTGTGTGCCGTGCTGAATGGAACGTTTTTGATACTATATAAACTTCTACAATATATATTTTTTTGTATTTATTTCGTTTGTAAAAAATAAAGAAATAATTTTTAACGGTACAATAGCCACGATTATTTTAAAAAGTTTACATTAGGCTTAACATTGACGAAAATTCAACGCGAAGCGACATGCAACGGAGAAAAATTTCAACATGGGATAGTTTAATATATTTTTTCGTGCACAATCGGTTATCCGAAAAATAAGTTATCCGAACAACCCCATTCCCCAATTGATTCGGATAAACGACGCTCTACTGTATTCTATAAATGTACACATCACGGAAATTACTGAAGCGTCGCCATTTATAATCCACTGATGCCTATTTTATTTCGAAGAATTAATAGTTTAAGAGGAGGAGAAAACCAATGCAAGAACGTCCAATCAAGAGAAAACAAAGAATGACCAACATTGCGTCAATTGGTCTTATTCCACAATGGAAAGGAAACATAAGGAAACTTTTTTAGACCTTTACTTAGGCTGTGTACACATTAGGCGTTTTGAAGCGCGCTCTTTGGTAACGCGCGTTTTAAAGAACCAAGAGTTCTGCATAGCACCCGCAAACGCGCGTTGACAGATTTTGGTTAGAAAGCGCGTTTCGTGAGCGTCAGCCGCGAGCTTTGAGATACATGTGCTGCCATTTTGTTGTACATTCGATCGCGCGCTTTCGGGTGGAGTGGACGCACGTTGGTAGAAATGGAGAACGTTCATTTCGATACTGATCGATTTATTGATGAAATCCAAAAGAGACCAACCATCGTCAAATGATTTTATAGACATTCTAAAATACAGTAATTAAAAAACTTGGGTTCATAATGTTTTGGTTTTAATTTTGGATACAACGTCACAAACATTCCATGCGTCAGTCTATCTCGTAATATTGGGTGTACCCAAAATTCTCTTTGCCTCTGCCATTGTCTTTTGTAGCGACGATACAGGAGCCACACACAAGAAATTACTTTCATGTCCATTTCCAAACTGAGCTAGTGCGAACGGTCGTCGAGTGCCGAGCTAAACGCGTGGTATGTACGCTGCTAACGCGCGTTTAATGCAACGTCCAACGTCTAATATGTACTAGCCCTAAGGGTACGTTCGTAAAATCAAACAAGTTAAACGCGTTAGAAATGAATCGTTCAAAAAGTGGTAGTCTCGTTCAGTGAGCATGCTCTGCGGTGATGACGTTTCGTACGAAACTCTAACGAAGCTCACGAAGGAAAGAATTAGTTTACTTCGTTAAGAAAATGGCGCCCGACGATATCGATGTTTCTAAATCTACTTGAGTGTTTAAATTGTGAAAAGGTGAAACGATTGAAGTAACTGTCCACCCGAAGCAATCTAAGAAAAATATTTCGGATAAGACTGAACTAGCAACATTCATATCTTCGATTTTAGAAACATCCATTTAGTTATAAACGAATCGTTCGAAAAGTCGAACGAAATAAGAATAACGATGATGTCATTCTCGTTTAACTCGTTCTAATTTACGAACGTACCCTAAGATGAAAATGTCGGAAACGATAATTGTATGGAAATCGCCATATAATTGGATGAAATGAAAAACTTTTTTCCATTTCACAGATTAATTTTTAAAAACACCAGATCCAAAACGAATTTTTTTCTTGTCCGGGAAAAGCATACTCCTGCGCATCGTTCTTTTCGTGAAAAAACACATTGAGACCAACCATTTGCATTAATAATATAATACATGTTTCTAACTTTCCTTGACAAAAACAAAACCGTACAAATCGTTTAATATAGCTGAAATATTACTCAACTCCATAAATATAAAAAATCTAATACACTTTCCAATATAATAGTAATTCGCCCGAGCAACAGAATGACCAAAGACTCAAGATCTGGGATCTCAAACTCAAAAACGCAGTATAGACAGTCAAACAGATGTATATCAGTCGTGGGCCTTATTCAATATTATTCGGTTAACCAAAACATACTGTAATTAAAAAAAAAACGCTCTAACAAAAGCCCTTTTTGTTGCCATGCCTTTACGACTTTGTAAACATTAGACGTTTGAATTGTTTCTGTTTTAATCCCTGCACGTGAAGACCAGTCTTCACGTGCAGAAGACCAGTGTTCGATTCATGCCCCCTGAAGCGCGTTGTTGACAAGATGCGCACGGTGGGGCCTTGCATTATCGTTAATGAAAAGAAAGTTGTTTCCAACTGCTTCAGCATAGGGTACCACGATAGGGTGCGGACCTCATCTCGATATCTGACAGCAGTCAGTGATCCATTTCTGATGACGTGGAGGTCGGTACGACCACCAATGCTGATGCCAGCCCACACCATGATTCCACAACCGAAGAAGTCACTTTCTCGCACGAAACGTGGATTCTCCCGTGTTCTTCATTCACGCCAGATCAGGACACAATGATTGTCAGGCTGCAGACTGAATCGTGACTCATCAGAGAAGAGGACAGTTGACCACTCATCACAGGTCTAATTACGATACTCATCAACCCACCTTCTACAGGTTATCGGGTGTTCAGCAGGTAACGGAATGCATACCATTGGTCACCAGGCATGCAATCCAACACAGATGGAGCCAATTTCGTATGGTCTGGGTGCATATCCGTCATCTAGTGGCAGCAAGAAACTGTACCCGCAGCTTTGTTGCATTGATGCGTCTGTTCCTTCTTGTTAATAACGTCAAGTAGCAGTAATCTCTTGCTGTTGTGGCAGATGGGCGACCCTGCCCTCATCTTCATCGTAATGTGCCAGTCTTTTGAAAACAATTCCAGTCTGCTAATCACGCTTTGGAATATTCAAAGTGCTGTTGCCACTGTTGTCTGTGTCAAGACGTCCTATGGCTCTCCAGGCTTCGCATTCGGGCAAATCGTGTTGCAGGGGCATTGAAAGGGCTGGGAAATTGCAGGATATGCACTTTCAAGATCAGGGAACGTGCAGATTTGCCAGTACTTTTAGCCATTTGTACAGTACATTTTCACCAATGAAATAAAAGTTGGTTTTGATTTTCATTTGCATAATCAAACAACTTACTTTGTCGTTTGCTTTTCTGATGTTCTTTGTTTAATAAAAAAAAAATCAAATGCTTCTTTTTTTATCACTTTATATTCATTTTGAAATATCACCTAATTTTGTGAGCAGTGTACAGTATTTAAAAAGTAAATGGAAATAATCAAAAATATTCATTTGATAATTTTTAAAAAAGTTATAAAGTAATATATTACTTTTGTTATTTATTTTTAGTAATCAACAGATATTATTATATTAAAATAACGTTAATTTTTAAGATTTGGAATTTTTACTACTAAAAGTAGCAGTAGTAAGTTTGTTTATCAATTGTAATAAACTTTTAAATGCAATATAATAATCTAATATAGAAAGAAATAAATATATTTTATGTTAAGAATTCAAAATAAGTTTCTTTTTAAATATGTTATTTTAAAAAATTTGCATTTATTCAGGGGCGGATCTAGGTTTTTCGGAGCCTACGGCTTATTGAAGTCCAATGGGGCCCCCTTTTTTTTATTAGACTAAGAATCTTTAAATGGGGGTTTTAAAATTCATTTTTAATAACATCAAAATCTGAGTTGAAATATATTTATTTATGAAATGGTGTTCAATGACAAATGTTATATCTTACATAAAAAAAAAAGTAAGAAATAAAAATATATTTACATTGATTAATTATTGACCAATTACGTTACACTGATTACAATAAAACAAATAATAATAATATAATAATAACAATAATTTATAGTATTAACTATTTTTTACTATATGATAAGTGTTCATTGTTAATGAAAAATTATAAAAAATTTATAATAATAATTCAATTTCTGTGGGCCCTTGACACCTGGCGACCCAGGGCTTAAGTCCTATTAGTCCCTATGTAAATCCATCCCTGCAATTCAGGTAAACAATGAAGGTTAATCTATCTATTTGTATTATCTATAATAAAATGCATGTTTGTTTGCTAGAAGTAATCTCGGAATCTACTGAACCGATTTTTAAAACTTTTTCTCTATTACAAAGCTTATTCCTTTCGGATAAACAGACTATATACTGTTTTTACACTAAAACAGGAAAATGCACGAGAACAATGTTTTTACTGCGGCATTTGTCTGGTTTTGTGGTTTGCCTGCTCCATTCAAGGTCAATCCCCTTCACCATTTGATGGGCTTTTTTTAAACTTATTATCATCTTACATTTTCTCATATTATTATCATTTTTACATATTATCATCATCTATCAAGATGCATCCTGTAAGACAATGCAGGAAAGTAGATTAAGATGGTTTGGGCATGTGGAGAGAAGTGAGGATTATGTTGGAAAGAGAATTAGGAAGTTGGAAATGACAGGAAGGAGGACGTGGGGAAGACCAAAGCAGAGATAGAGAGACAAGGTGGCAGAGGATTTGGGAGAGAGGGAATGGATGAACTGGATAGAGAAGTGGAGAAGACAGATTAAGGATGGGAATGATGACCCCATGTAAACATGGGAAAAAGCAAAGATGAAGCAGAAGATTTGATAAAAAAAATTTGATAGAACTACGAATTAGTTCTATATAATTGCATATTAATTAATTTTACAAATACCTATTGCGTAATGAAATTTACACTAATATTGAAAGAAATAACTTAAGAAATAGCAAGTTCAGATCAGATTAATTAATTTATATATTTTCTTCAGTACCTTTGTCATCTGATATTTCTGCCTCTATCGATTCATCATATGGCTGATTATGCAAAATTGTTACCTGAAAATATAAATTTGAAACCTCAACAAATAAAATGCATTTTAAATTTTTAATCAAAATAGTAAAAAAATTATTCAATTATTCAATTTAAATTATCAATTTTCTAAGCATTCTTTCTATTTTTTTAATATAATTGAATAAAATAAACAGATTTAAAAAGCATTCAACGTAAAATAATGTATTATTATTTGATGAACTTAGAAATGAACTTTTAGATATTTTATGACAAAAAACAGAGCATGTCTACTTATAAATTATAAGAATATTTCAGTTTATTCATTTATTTGAATGATGAAATATATATATTGATTTTTCAATAATGTTTACTATTTCAGAAATGTTTTTATGCTAATTTATTCATTTTAGATTGTGCAATTTTTAGTAAATTCATTGCTGACGATGTCTGATTAATCTTCAAATATAAATTTACTAAATAAAAAAAAAAATACTTGTGTATATCTGTTACAAATAGAGCATTTCATTATCAGTATTGTTGATTATATCAAACTCATATCATCTTAAGAGAAACTTTTACAAAAAATGGCGTTAAGGACATTTAAAGAACGTTTTATTTTGCTGCTAGTGCTATTGAAGCAGTAATGGGGCAGACACAGATTCAAACAAAACTTTTCGAACAGATTTTTTAAATTGAAAAAAAAAGCAAGAACATAACTACATTTAGAACAAGAAACCATAAAGTTTTAAATGTGCTCCTGGAATAAAAATCTCCTGAAATCCACTCTTCCAGAATTGACAGGGAGATTGTAGGCCAAACCTACAATGAATGTGATTGTATGGTAAGAGATGGGAACAGACCCTCACAGAAATTTTTCGATCACCCGGATGCAATCCCGGTCCCCCAGAGCGGTAGGCTGACACTTGAACTGCCTTGACACACAGACCGAATTCAGATAATATGCAAAGCCCAAAATATTGTAGCTCGACTAACTTACGGAGTTAGAACAGGATGTATCAGTACAGTGGTTACAAACTTTCAGGAGAGATAGGGTACACCTAGATGATGGGAAATCACATAGCAATGCATGGTCGGAAATGCTTTCCTGGTGTGGTAGTGACGACACAAAACACAAGAAAGGAAGGACGCGAAAAGGGTGAGAAAACATGTTTATTATTCTTAGTACAGAAAAAATGCTGGGATGTCTTTGGCTGGTGTACGCGATAGAAGTCGCTACGTAAACCGAAGCATCAGATGACGTTGCGTGTGCGCAAGAATAATAAACATGTTTTCTCACCCTGTTCGTGTCCTTCCTTTCTTGTGTTTTGTGTCGTTACTACCATGCCAGGAAAGCGTTTCTGACCATGCATTGCTATATAATTTCCCATCATCTAGGTATACTCTATTTCTCCTGAAAGTTTGTAGCCATTGTACTGATACACCCTGTATATATGTCGCCTTTAGGAAAGAATGGAAATTTTCAAAGCTATGTACTGTACAGTATGAAATATCTGAAATATGGCAGTTGGGATATCAATATGTAGATCTTTGGATATCAGATGAAATGCAATGCCCAATACAATTAGTATGATCAAAAATAGGGTTACGAAATTATGGTCCGTATGCATATATGCCGCCTATAAAAAAAAAAAAAAAAAACAATAAAGTTGGTAATAATATCCTAAATCAACCAGTTGGACGGCCGAGATGGTAAGGCATCAGACACTCACTCTGGTGGTTCCAGGATTGAATCCGAATCTAGTCGAAAAATCCTAGGAAATTTTTTGGGTAATATTTCGAGGATTTGTTGGGCTCCGTCTATCACCGCCCATTAAGAGCCTAGCCAAATATACAATGGGCTTTTTTTTTTCTATCTTTCCGCGCTGTGGGCACTAAGAGGGCCTCCTGTTGCAAGCCAATTATGGATGCAACAGGCCCACAATGGGGCGGTGGGTAGTGAGGGACAGGGTCCGATGTATCCGAATGGACCACCCCCTGAAAAATTCCTGGGGATTATTTGACCTGTCCGGATTCGATCCCGGGTCCCCCAGATCGGTAGGCTGCCATCTTGACCGCTCGGCCATCCGCCCGTCATGCACGATGGGCATGGAAAAAATCCTTTTAGTGCCAAAAGATGGAAAGAAATATAAGAAAAATATATCCTAACAGTTAACCTGATTGTCATTCATTAACTTAATAAAAATTATTTTTAGCAATTATAAATAAGTAGTTTTTAAATTTAAAGAAAAAATTAAATTTCTAAATTATTGAAGGTTGCGAATCATAGACGGCGCGCCAGTGGCGCGCTTAGAATTTCAATATGGTGGCGGTTCTGGTACGTTCTAGTCACTTTTGTTTCAAATTCGAGTAAATTTTCTTATTTCTAATTTATTTTTGACCTAGCGATATGTTATATAACTCACTGTTCATAATAGAACATAATTATTTATATATATTTTAAGCTGAAATGCAGATTTATCCGAAAATCGATATTTGCCTGGAAAAAGTGGTTTGTGCTAAGCGTTAAAAATGACCTCCAACAATGATACTTTAACTAATAATTATTTAGCTTACATTTGTCGTTTCTGATGTTTCATCTTCAACATTATCCATTTTGATTAACGCTACTAATGCTACAACACTATAATCTATTCGTATATTGTGCACATTCTACGATTTGTTTACACTAGTACCGGTCCTAATGTACTATTCAGCGCCACCTGTTTTCTGGCATTTTGCTACATAATTATTTTATCAGCTGTCATATTTACATTTTTATTATTGAATATTTATTTTAAAATAATACTTTTAATAATTAATATTAAAGAATTTTAATACTAATTAATGTTAAATTAATTTTAATAATTCATTTATAATATAGTTTTATTTTCTTATTTTTGACTCTTTCCTCCCTGAGGGAACTAGGAAGCCCTTTTAATTAATTCTATGCGATTACTAGTTCTGTTATTTTGTGCTGGTCGCTGGTTGGAGAATATTATTAAATAAAATATTATATAATTCAATATTTTATTATTAAAAAAATATTTGGTTTTTGATATTTTTTTATTTGTATCGCATTTATACGTCTATCAGAAACTAAAGAAATAAAACAGTAAGAAATGTGGTCAAATTCACTTTGCCTCCTCTCGAATGGCCGAAGCATTAAAGAATTCAGCCTACCGCTCTTGGGATTCTGGATGGAATCTGAACCCATAGGAATTTTTCGCAGACGGTCTATCCTGGATATGTCGATCCCCGTTCCTCACCACCCAAACACCTATTCTGGGCCTAGTTGAACCTACTATGAGCCTAATTGTCGGGTGGTCGAGGCGGTTAGTGTATCAGCCTACCGCTCTGAGGGACCCGGGATCGAATCCGGGCGATCGAAAAATTTCTGCGATGGTCTGTCCCGGATATGTCAGGCTCCATCTCTTACCATACGATCGCATTCATTGTGGGCTTGGCCTACAATCTCCCTGTCAACTCTGGAAGAGTGGATTTCAGGAGATTTTCATTCCAGGAATATAAACTTTCGGGAGATTTGACTTTTCTTTTTACACTCAACAATATCAAAACGCTGTTGCATTTCTTTAAATTAATCTGTTTCAATCTCGAGACGTTGATCAACTTTTGTTGGTCGTCTTGACCGGGAAGAAAAGGCCTTAATTTAGGAATACGAGAATTAAAAAATTTTGCCAAATTCTAATATCTCCCAGAAAGTCCGGGAGAGTTGGCCACAGTCTGGCAGAATCCACGACGAGTATGAAAAGTGACTTTCTTAGCACCCACAGAGGGAAAGAGTTATAAAAATAAAAAAATAAAAATACATAAAAAAATAATTGCAAGTATCTGTACTAATAACTAAGGCAACTTTATTACGATATAATAAAGCAGTTGAATATTAGGAATTCTTGTTTGCGCAATATATTTAAAAGCTTGGTTTACTATAATCGTAATAGGTAATGTACAGTACATGGCGTGTGGCCGGATGGCCGAGCAGGTAAGGTGGCAGCCTACCACTCTGGGGGACCCGGGCTCGAATCAGGACCGGTCGTAAAATCCCCAGGAATTTTTCGGGGTATGGTGTTCTGATATGTCGAGCCCCGTCCCTCACCACCCGGTCACCCCATTGTGGGCCTGGCTGAATCCATAATGGCCCTGATAAAATGAGGTCTTCTTAGTGCCCACAGGGAGGAAAGAGTTTAAAAAAAAAGATACTGTACATAAAGTGAAAAGAAAAAAGCGTGGCAATCATATTAGTTTTAAAATGAAATATAAAACTATTATCAGTTATGTTTCTTCTTGTGCCAACTAGTTTATGTAACAATCATAAATTTGAAAATGTAGAAAATGCTTAAAGAAAAAGTTAAGTGACAACACAATCGAACTTACCGAAAAAATTTTTTTAAGTGAAATCGTTTAACGTTTATCTATGTTGACACTATTGTAGGGACTTTTCCAATAAAATCCCATGAATGTTGGAACAGGAATTAACTTTCTCCTGAATTCTGAGGAAGTTAATTCCTATCAATATTTATCCGGATTAAGTTAATCATGAATGACACGAATAGGTGTCAAAATAATGCTCACATAATTCAAGGTTAATTTACATTAATAAGACGAGACATTTTTTCAATTGTTAATTCCAGCAGAGGGTGCAACCAAAATATCTGCATGCTTTTGTGCATGAATGGCTGAGTTTACATTTAACCATGACGATTTGTTATAACGTTGTCCCTTCTTGTGTCCAGGATTTTTTGACAAACAACTGAGTCATTTAGCATCTCTTTCAAAGAAATTAATAGGTTGTCGATAATGCCGTTTATTAACTAATAAAACATTCTTCGAGAAGTAATATAAACCGGAAGTGACGGATGGCCGAGCGGTCAATGCAGCAGCCTATTGCTTTGGGGGATCTAGGTTCGAATCCGAACAGGTGGAAAAATCCCCAGGAATTTTTCAGGTGGTGGTCCGTTCGGATATGTCGGGCCCCGTCCGTCACCACCCGGCCGACCCATTGTGGGCCTGGCCGAATCCATAATAGGCTTGTTAAAATGTGGCAAGCTATATTTTAACAAGCTCATTTTAACAGGGCCTATTAGTACCCACAGGGCGGCAAGAGTTTAAAAAAAAATTCTTTTCGCATGGGCACGAAATACTCTTCTTTTTTCCTGAGGAAATTTTATCTCATGGTCCGTTGCAAGTCATCTGGCCGCTCTGCGAATTAACGAATAAAAAGTCTGTTAGGAAAAAGGTTAATACCAATAATTATACCAAAGGGACGAATAGTTAGTTCTAATGACAGTGAACCAAGGAGTTAATTACGAGATATTAACAATGCTTCTTAAACTACTGTGTAGTCAAAAGAAATACTGTAACAAGAATTCGCGAAATACCGGTTTTCTTAGCTGCCTAACTAAACCCGCAACTTTATTACCTATTCGATATACAGTCGACCCCCCCATAACACGGGTTCCTATAGTTCGGATTCCTATACGACGGCGAAAAAATTGCGACGGTATCTGTACAAACATGGTAAAAAAAACTCCTATAATTCGGTAAAATATCATCGGGCAGCCAAACTACTTTCCGCCGTCCAGCGCTACGTTATGGAGAGTTTAGGCGGGTAAATTGAATTTACTATCGTCTGTACAGTATTATATATAAATTAGGTACTGTATATATAATATACAGTACCTAATTTCCACCCTACTTTTCCCCCCTAATTCCTATACCGCCCTAAAATTCCGCCCTAATACCCTATACTTTCCGCCGTCCAGCGCCACGCTACGGAGAGTTTAGGCGAATAAGTTGAGTTTACTATCGTACAGTATGTAAATTAGGTACTGTACCGTAAGTCTAATGCAGTACTGTAATTTTATACATTTCTTGTGAAAGAAACATTTCTTATTCAACGGCCATAAAAATTATTTATATTAATAATGTCTCCAAAGTTCAACGAAGTTTTTTCAGAAAAATAACTTATCAGAAATTGCGGCCGCCGTTTGGTGCGCTGCTCCACGACGAACACAAGCTGAAGCAATGGCTACGTCGAACGAGGATGTAATCAAGACAGATTCTATTATTTTTATTAGAAATCTATCATTGACAATTTAAGATTTTATGAAGGCCTTTTTATATACATTACAAAATATAAGGCTAAACCCATAATAATCGGGTTGTTGGATGGCCAAAGTGATTAAAGCGCCAGTCTATCATTCTGGGGGACCCGAGATCGAATCCGGGCAACCAACCCAAGAAATATTCATGGGTAGTCACGAATATGTCGGTCCCCGTTCCTTAGCACCCGGCCACCCCATTTATCGTCATGGTTGATGTGATTGAAAAGCTCCTCTTAATGCTTACAAGGCAGAATAAGTCAAAAATAAAAAAATATACTCGTGATAGTTGATATTTTTATAAATTCTACCATACGATTTAGTACTGAATTTCTTAGGATGGATGGCCCAGCAGTAAGGTGGCAGCCTATCGCTCTGGGGGACCTGGGATCAAATCCGAATGGGTCAAATAATCCCCAGGAATTTTTCCGGGGGAACCGTCCGGGTATGTCGGGCCCCGTCCCTCACCACCCGGCCGCTCCATTGTCAGCCTGGCCGAACCCATAATGGGCTTGCAAAAAACAGGCCCTCTTAGTGCCCACATGGCAGAGAAAGTTAAAATTTTAAAAAAGGGTACTGAATTCCGAGTATTAAATCAAAACAGAATAAATATAAATTCAGAGCTGTTTAAAGCAGGCTAACCTGTTGGTTGAGGTTCGTTCCTGATCCTGGGCAGGTGACGTGGAATTTTATGAGTTTTTTTTTCATGTGTGTAACACCTCAATAGAAACCATTTCCCTGTATGTCCTCCTAGCAGTCACGCCATTGACAAATTGCTCATATATTGTGTTGCTTTATTTCATCAATCCAATCCTAAAGCATTTTGAGGTCTCTGGTCAAGTTCTTCAGAAGCATATAGATACAGGTGTAGAATAAAAATATTATAATATTGTTGAATATATCACTGTTGCAAGTTATGTGTTCACAGATAGTGAGTAGGATACCTTACAAGTAAGTTTAAAAAATCGCACACAACTACGTTGATCCGTTTCAAGTCATACCGAACCAAAAAGTGACGGGCTTCATAAAAGACGCCACGTCATGGCCGTTTATTTATTATAAAAAATAATACAATGGTTATATGATACGAAGCAACGCTTCGTATCATACACAATACAAATACAAAAGTTTATATAACACAAATCATTGCTACAAACATAGGTAATGACAGGAAAGAAATTTAACAAATATGATCCCCAAAGAAGGCAAAGCCATAGGCTATGGCTTACAACGTGGCCTATACACGTGTGATGCATGGTCATACCAGGGCTCAAGGCCAGCTTAGTGGGTGAGGTGACGAGGAAATTACCTCAAGCAGCAAACTCAGTGGGGGTAATAAAAAGAATAGTTAAAAATGTTGAAAATAATAATAATAATAATAAGCCGAATACAGTGAAGTCCCATAAATATACTTTAAAGTTGATAAATAATTTATACAAGAGTACCACTACTAGAAGTGCTTTCTCTATTGACAACTATTCTGAAAGCTAGAACGACAAAAAATTGTTTTTGCCTCAAGGGCAAGTTACCATTAAGAGGCACTGCCAAGGATGCATTTAACGTCTATTCCAGGCATTCATTTGCTCTGCCATGAGGATGACAGGAATTTCCAACTCCAAAATCTGCTGTAAAATCCTACTTACACCTGGCATCGATATACTCTGCCAAGAATGCTATGTTTAGTCATCCGTTTTTCATTTTCAGGCATTGGTTTGTTCTGCCTGGGAGATTCCAAGACATTCCTACTCCAAGATTTGTTCTTGTGTGAGGTTGTCTTCCTATCCATATATTGATATGTTTTAACTGAAAGCATGTTTAGTTGTAAAAACATGCTTTCAGGTAAACAGTAAAATCAATACTATTCCAGGCATTAATTCTGGGGAATGACAAGGGCTGCTGCCTCAAGCTTCGTTCTGGTGACAGATATGACTACCTATTGTCTTGTGACTTTAGTTGTCACCCTCAATACAAGTAGGCGCGGACTAAATCAGTCTATTTGTAAAGTAGGAAAGACGCTTTTTTAAACAACGAAGGGAATAACTACACTGGATGAACTATACCTTAAGCTATAAGATAAAAATTAAAACAATGGGATCGGTTATTTTATTTTTTATTATTTTATTATTATTATAATTTAACGTATACCTTAAGCATTGATTTCCTCTTCCCACCATTTACCAGATGATGGGGACTTCCTTCTACAATAGTCTGATGACGTGTGTGTTTACCTTCTCCAGGCATTGGTTTGCTTTGCCTGAAAGCCCATATTTAGTTGTCCACTTTTTCATTCCAGGCATTTGATTTTGGGGGATGATGGGGGCCTCTGCTCCAAAATTTGGTCTAATAACAGATGTGTGCCTATCTACCTCAGACATTGATATGCTCTGCCGAGAAGATTATGTTTCCCACTTTCAGGCATGGTTTACTATACCTGATGGATGACTCCTGTTCCACCACTTACTCTGGTGACAGATGTCTATCTACCGAAGGCATAAGTATGTCCTGCTTGAGAGATGATGGGTCTCCTGCTCCTAGATTTATTCTGGTGACAGGGTGTCTTTATTTACCTTAGTCATTAGTATGCACTATGAGGCCGAATGGCCAAGCAGTCAAGGTGTCAGCCTACCACTCTGGGGGACCCGGGTTTGAATCTGGACAGGTCAATAAATCCCCAGGAATTTTGGGGGGATAGTCTGTCCAGATAAGTCGGGCTCTGTCCCTCACCACCCGGCTGCCTCATTGTGGGCCTGGCCAAACCCATAATTGGCTGCTAAAAGAGTGCCCACAGGGCGGAAAGAGTAAAAAAAAAGTCATTAGTACGTTCTGCCTGAGGGATGATGGGACTTCCTGTTTCTAGATATACTCTGGTGGCAGTTTGTGCCTACCTACCCCAGTCATTAGTATGCCCTGCCTGAGGGATGATGGGGCCTCCTGCTCCTAAATTTACTCTGATGACAGGTTGTGCTTGCCTACCCTAGTCATTAGTATTCCCTGCCTGAGGG